TTATAAATAGGCTGATATTTAGGCTAATTAATTAGCCAAAGTCAAGTCCAATTCATATTTTAGAACCCAACTGTGTTAAAATAATTATCGTCATGAACATCTCAAACAAAATTACAGAAGTCCAACATTCTTTTTGTAGGTAAAGTTGGCAAAGGAACACCCTGTAGAATAAAAGGAAGAGAAAAGACAATCTCTGGCCCACAATTGAAGGGATAAAGGTTTAGTAAATAGGAATGGAGAAAATATGGGAGATTTAATGAGGTTCACGTAATAAGAATAAAAAGTTTGGAATAGAGAAATGTTGCTAAGGTCTAGAAATTGGTCAAACGAAATAGGCATATGTGAGGGCTGAGAAGTTTACTAAAATGTTCAATTCATTTGGTCAGCAAATATGGTGTTGGGAGTACAACAACAAATACAGACCAAAAAAAAAAAAAAAAAAAAAGATTCCCTGCCCCTATAGATCTTACATAGAATTGTTTTCATTGGAATCCATGGATTTCAGTGTTTCCTTGATGATATTTTCTGGTTTGAAACAGGTACAACTTTTAAGATATAAAATATGAGGTACAAAAATAGAAAAGTCATAATATTTAAAGTCTTACTAATAAAGGAATAACTAGTTATTTTTGTTTTGTTTTTGTTTGTTTGTTTGAGACAGAGTCTTGCTGTGCCACCCAGGCTGGAGTGCAGTGGCACAATCTCAGCTCACTACAACCTCTGCCTCCTGGGTTCAAGTGATTCTCCTGCTTCAGCCTCCTGAGTAGCTGGGATTACAGGTGCCTGCTACCAAACCCAGCTAATTTTTTGTCTTTTTTAAGTAGAGACAAGGTTTCACCATGTTGGCCAGGCCTCCCAAAATGCTGAGATTACAGGTGTGAGCCACTGTGTCCTGCCTAGATTTTTAAAAATAAAAAGCTCAAAGTGTTTTTCAGCATGTGGACCAAATTCTAACAGGTCTAACAGGTTCCTAACAGTATTTGAACAGTGTTTTAGAATTTATAAAGCACTTTTACATATTGAATGTTCTCCCAATTAATCCTCAATAACAATCTTTTCATTTATTTTTGCACACTATTTTTTGGTAGAAAACAAAGCTGAGGCTCAATAAGGTAAAGTGAAATGGCCAAGTTTTGCAGGGCAAAACTCAAACTCATTCCCTTGACTGCCTAATGCAAAAGAGCTTCCATATACTCTTCTGCACTTGATTCTCATGTTTGATCTACTTAACCCTATTTTAAGATGAAAAAGCAGAAGTTCAGAGAGATTAAATAACTTGCCTAAAGTAAGTTGGCAGGTGGAGTTGGAACATATTTCCAAGTCTAATGGGAACAAAATTCATATATACTGCCATTCAACTTTAAAGACTGAAATATATTAATATATCATATTATATATGGAGGTGTGAATATAATATGAAGTATAATATTTAGTGAAATATATTAATACATATTAATATAACAACTTATTTTATTGCAATTTTTATTTAAACAATATTTTAAAGAGATGGGATCTCGCTATGTTGTTCAGATAGCGCACTGCACCCTTGACCTCCTGGACTCAGGCAATCCTCATGTCTCAGCCTCCTAAGTAGCTGGGACTACAGGTGTGTGCCACTGTGCCCAGCTTTACTGTAATTTATATTTAGGTGAGCCTATAATCTTTTTTTTCCCCCATTTATTTTATTGCATTTTAGGTTTTGGGGTTTTGTGAAGAACATGCAAGATTGTTGCATAGGTACACACGTGGCAGTGTGATTTGCTGCCTTCCTCCCCATCACCTACATCTGGCATCTCTCCCCTTTCTATCTCTCCCCAGCTCCCCACCCCCCAAGTGAGCCTATAATCTAAATAATTCCTTAGTTTAAGGTTATGTCTATCTCCAACAATGATACTAAAAATGGTACAAAGTAAGCTTTTATAGTTCCTACTTCCTCCTCCTTTAGGGAATAATTCAGCTCCACAAGCAATACCATAAAGTCTTGACTAGCAAGTCAGGTTACTTGGGTCCTTTCACAACAGATAGAAACGACTAACATTTTGAAATGATAGTTAAATTTAACATCAGTTAGAAAAACAGAAAAAAATATACCAAGACAATACTCCATTTAACATAATAACAAACCACTACTAAATACTTGTAAAGCTTTTCAACTATATATGAATCATATATAAAAGATGATGGCACCTAGTTAACAGAAATAATATGCCACTTGTACAGTTTTGTACTTTATAATAGCAAGGAGCCAAATCAAACTTTAATATTGAATTCTGTAAATATTAATATAAGATATTTTCATGTGAAATGATGAAATTTGGAGAAAAGTATTAAGATAATCAAAATAATATAAATTTCCAAAAAAAGGAAGACTGAGCCAAGAAAATACAAAGTTATTATAAAACATACTAAAATATCAACCTAATTATGCCTTGTTACACATTACTTTTAATCAGTATTTACCATTAGGTTTTCAAAGGTTAATTTCTGGGAACAGTAAATTTCATATAGCTTTTGTTTTCTTTCTAATATATTGAAGCTTGTTTATTCCAGAGTGGAATTTGGTGTAAGATGGGTTGTTTTGGACCTGGTCCAAGAGGGTTTAGTTAGTGAAAGCACCTCATTATAAGGTGGTCTTAGCAATAAGGTGATCCACTGGCTCAGATCCCATGTATTTTATAACAAGGCTCCATTGTGGAGTACAGGAAGCTAGGCAGCTAATGGTTCTATCAAATGAAACTTAAGAAACAAAAAAATTTTTTTTTTGAGACATGAAAATCATTTAGGGCTAGAGGATCATAAGCTTTGGTCACTTTTCCAAATTTCTGTGTCCTGAAACAATGTTCTTTATTGTATGTTTCATAGCTCTGCAGTTATTTTACACTAAGGTTTTAGCTTCCTTACATACATTGTTTGATGTGGCCTTAAAAATTGTTTTGATTACCAAAGCTTTCATCACTACTATCTATTTTTGAAAGATTGACTACATTTACCTATGGAAATAGACAATAAATCGCCGAGAATTCATAAAGGTTAAATTCTTGTGTAACTCATTGAGAAATTTGAGGTTTAAAAGAGCATGTGCAAGAATAATTGTTTGGTAATCAAATACAAAAAGAATGCCATCACTTAGAGATGACCAAGATAAACAGCCTTTCAAGTGATTTTATAACAGGTACTTTGATTTCATGAAATTTTATAAGCAGGTCTAAAGAATTAAATATTTTAAATATGTTTTATTATAGGAAAGTAATACAAAAAAGCCTAATTGCAGAAAAATAATGGGGGAAAGCTTTTTGTTAAAATTAGTGTTTTGAATACATAGATCGTAAGAATAACAAAGCCTTATATAATCTTAGACACCAGTGCCAAATTTAAAACCATGTAATAACTAAGTGAATAGAAACGTAGTAATAGTTTGTAACACAATTCTAGAAAGCTTTAAACAAGTTAATTACATCATGAAACATCTACTCTTTACATTGTACCTTTCTTCCACGAATAAAGCCCTTTCTCCAACTGGTAGTTTTCCTGGTTTGCAGCCTGTGTGTTCTACATACTTTCAGTCCTTGAATAAATTTGGTATTAGATAATTATTTCATATGCATTGAATGTGTCCCATAAATTATCTGATAAACAATGGCTACCTTATATATCTCAAAAGCTTAAAAAATAAACCAGCCAAATAATTTTTCTTTCCTCTAAGAATTCTTTATTGTCAGTCTATCATGTATCTATCTATATATCATATAGAGCAAGGGTGCACTCCAGATATGATTCATCTACTCATTAATAATGAATGACTTGCAATGTGCCAGGTGCTCTTTTATATGTTTTAACTTATTTAACTCTATAAATATTTCCTTAAAAAGTATGTTATCAGTAATGAAAATGGCCTACATCCTACTCTATAAAGGGCAGTAGTTTACTTCTTGGAATATCATCTTGGTCAAAGTCATTATCTGAGGAGAATATACACCTGTTTCAACAGTGATATCATTGTATAAATTATTTGAAACACCTTTTGGAATTACTAAAAGCTTGTGGCACATTTCTATATACATTCTCAGTAATGAAAATTTTTAGCTTCCAAGAGAATTAAGTTTTGGAAAGAATAAAAAGTATCTAGGCCGGCACGGTGGCTCACACCTGCAATCCCAGCACTTTGGGAGGCCAAGGTGGGTGGATCATTTGAGGTTAGGAGTTCAAGACCAGCCTGGCCAACATGGTGAAACCCCATCTCAAAAAATTAGCCCAGTGCATGGTGTGCACTTGTAATCCTATTTACTCAGGAGGCTGAGACATGAGAAGTTGCAGTGAGCCAAGATCATGCCATTGCACTCCAGCCTGGGTGACAGAGCAAGACTCTGTCTAAAACAAACAAATAAAAACACTGCTATCTAGGGAAAGGGAAAACCATTTGAGATAAAGTTGGGCAGTAACACTAAAAGATGACTATAAAATAATATACTTAATTTTCTCATGTCATTTACCAGCTCTAAAGGTAATTTCAAAAGTCCTCAAAATGTTTTAATTGTAGCATTGTGAAAACAAATATCTAGCTTTCCCAGCTATTATGCACATAGTCATATCATCTGTACCAGTCTGTTTTCATGCTGCTAATAAAGTCATACTGGAGACTGGGTAATTTATAAAGGAAAGAGGTTTAATTTACTCACAGTTCCACATGACTGGGGAGGCCTCAGTAAACTTACAATCATGGTGGAAGGCACCTTTTCGCAGGGCAGCAAGAGATAGAAGAATGAGAGCGAAGCAGGGAAAAGCCCCTTATAAAATCATCAGGTCTCATAAGAACTCACTATCATGAGAACAGCATGAGGGCAACCGCCCCCATGATTCAATTACCTCCCACTGGGTCCCTCCCACAACATGTGGGGATTATGGGAACTACAATTCAAGATGAGATCTGGGTGGGGACACAGCCAAACCACATCACCACTGTTCCCTAAATGTAAATGAGTAAGAACAATTTAACCTTTTTTATGAAATACTATGCTTTATTTTAAGCATTCTGGAACAAAAGCAAATGAAAATTGACTCAGAATAGTATCAGCAGACATTCCTTTAAATTATAGATTCTTAAAGCACAAAGAAATTTGTATGATTTTATAAGTACTAACTTCTGCATTTTACAGATGAAACTAATTCCCTGAAGGGTGTGGTGATTGCCAATGTGACTTACCAAATTAGAGGCAGTGCCAAGTACAGAGCTCAAGTCTCTTGTCTTCTACCAGGTACTCATGCGTTCCACTACCTTTCTATCCCTATCTGTGGTTTAAGAGCAATACCAGAGGAGATAAATTGTTTCAAAACAATGTAGAAATTACCCTCTAAACTAGTATTTGGTACTTATTGCTCAATGATCAACTAGAAAAAATATATAATACTAGATGGGATCTAACATATTCTAAATTCTTTAACTGGTAAATTGTCAATTTAAATGTCTTTGAACTATGCTTAGAGTTGTAACATCAAATACTATGGAAACAAGCTGTATAAATCTAAATGTCTCAAAATGAAAGCAAATACATGCCTACATAATAATTCATTTATCCAAATGAAATGTAAAATAAATCCTTACTGGGAATTTTGACTTGAAAATAATAGGCTATACAAAACTCTTGAGTAGCTCATAAAATTTCAACTCAAATTACTCACAAAAAGTCCTAATACCCAGTGAATAAAGGATGTTTCTTAGAAAAAGATCAGTGAATGTATTTTTGGAATGATGTCAGAGATGAGCATCTTTTATAATCATTTTTGATCAGACATACAGCTTCATTCATAAAAACACAAACAAGGTCAAAATTCACAGAAGGGATTACTATGCTCTAAGGAAACATACTTTGGCTGCAGCTATAAATGTGGGTTTGCTTATCAAATTTATATATAAAGTTTTCTATCTTAATCATTGCATAACTAAAGCTTACACTAGAACAATACCAGAGGGGAGAAATTGTTTCACCATTTCTAAATAATGTAGAAATTACCTTCTAATCTAGCGTTTGGTACTTGTTACTCACTGATCCACTAGAGAAAATATAATACTAGGCAGGATCTAATATTTTTTTCCACAATGATGATGGAGCTAAATAATTGGAATAGAAAATCTGGAATACTTCATTTGTCATTTTATATCTTTATATCAATTTGTTTATGACATGTTTGATTTTAGTTTACTATACAAATAATGTAAAACAATTTCAATTAAAAATGCATACTACTTTCTTAATTTCTCTTAATTACTTATAAGTAGGCAGAAATAAACATTCCAAGACAAAAGGTGATCTCTAAAAAAGCCTCGGACTGATTTGAGGTAAAATCTATAGTGAAATATGACTGAGGTGTGACTAGATTAGACTGCTATTTATCAGTATAATAAACAAATATATTTTATGTATGTATCACTATGAAAACCAATGGATGAAGAGAACCACCTAATATAAATACTTACATGAAACTGAAAGTGCCCCAGAAAACTCTAAATATCTTTAATTTTAAATTGCATTTAGCTAAGGAAGACTTATTAGAGGAAAATATTTTATATGAATTACTTTATCAAAACTCAAGAATAAAATTTACATTTCTGAATATAAAATAGTTTTTTAAAAAGTATGCCACTTATTCAATGTACAAATTCTTACAACAGAGTTTAACATAAGCATGATGACATATGTTGACAGCTTGAGAGTTAAGTATTATTACTTAAAACTAGGAAACATACCTTTATTTTTGGAAGGAGATGGTTTAAAGTTCTTTATTTCTATTTCATGAGTGTTTCCCAGTTCAAATTCATTTATCCAAGTTGTTTTTACATTACCATCAATGTCATCAATTTTATTTTCTTCAATATGCAGAATTCCATTCAACTTTGTATCTGTGCAATCCTCAGCTTTCACTTCTCTGGCTGAATCTATTTCTTTTATAGTTCTAATTTCAAAAAGGTCTTCAGCTAAAATGCAATCTGAATTGTCAGCCAATCTATTTCCTCTATCAGTTTCGACTAGGTCATTTTTTTCTTCATTTGTATCTTCAGGATCATAAAGTTCAGGTGTAAAATAGATAGATTCATCTTCTGCTTCTGTTTCAAAATCTCTATTTGAAGTGGATTGTTTATCTTCTTCACTTACTAGGGACAATTCAATGTCTGGATCTAGGGCTTCTTCAGAACAGAGAGGATGTTCGGGATGATTTTTTCTAGTAAGGGTTCCATCAATCTTTAATGATGAAATAATGGTTTCTGATTGAGGGCATGATCCAAACGATGTTTTTACCATCAGGTTTGAGGATTCACATTTATCAGTGAATGGCAAAACAGTTTTACTTTCCATCTTTTCTGTTTTGAAACTGGGAGGACTAGAGGCACTATTCTTTGATGACTCGAGCTCAGGTGCTGCCTTTGGTATTTTACCAGTAAAATACTGTCCCAAAGAATTAAAGCTCGACCAAATAGCTCTCTTTGTTTGTTTGTTGAAAGTTGGGCTTGTGGATCTGGAAATCACAATTTTTTCTGCTTTCATTGCTTGGACAGGCTCTTCCAGGAATACTGGATCATCTAAGAATACAAGAATTTAAGAGCTTTAACTTTCTGCTCCTAGCCAACATAGTAATTGTTAAGTTAGGGTAACAAGAGCGAAACTCCGTCTCAAAAAAAAAAAAAAAAAAAAAAAAAAAAAAAAAANAAAAAAAAAAAAAAAAAAAAAAAAAAAAAAAAAAAAAAAAAAAAAAAAAAAAAAAAAAAAAAAAAAAAAAAAAAAAAAAAAGAAATACCTAAATAACTGTATAGGATATATAACTTAGAGCCCCCGATGAACACTAGTGGATTTTTAATCTTGGAACAGAATATTAACTCTGAAAGAAATTTTAGGTCTCTAGTGTTTCCTTGCCCAAGTTATAATGCTGTCTGGTAAACTATAAAATTCCACACCAGGAAACTCAAGAATAAATGAGGAAAGAAGGAGTAAAAGGGAAGAGGAAGATGGCTGAGTAAAGGAAGGAACAGGCTGTAAACATTTGCCTTGAAAATCCACTAACCAGTGACTGAGAAAAGCTTACCTAGACTAATTATTTTATTTAATAAATAAGGAAGGTGACAATTATAAGGCTAAGTTATTTGAATTCACAATGACATTTATATATACTACAAAAAAAATGTTTAAAATTTTTTTTTCTTTTTTTTTTTTTTTTTGAGACAGAGTTTCACTTTTTTTGCCCAGGCTGGAGTGCAACGGCGTAATCTCAGCTCACTGCAATCTCCGCCTCCCAGTTTCAAATGATTCTTCTGCCCCAACCTCCCAAAAAGCTGGGATTATAGGCACCCACCACCATGCCCAGCTAATTTTATATATTTTTTTTAGTAGAGATGGTGTTTCACCACATTGTTCAGGCTGGTCTCAAGCTCCTGATCTCAGGTAATCTGCCTGCCTCAGATATATGAATTAAAACAACTGAAATTATATCCAATGGTATAAACCAGAGTTTGGCAAACCTTTTTTGTTACAGGCCAGAGAGTAAATATTTTAGGCTTTCTGGGCCATAATATATCTGTTGCACCTACTCAATTATGCTGTTCTAGTGCAATACATACAAATACTCAACTCTGCTGTTGTCTGCAATATGTAAATAAGTAAACGTGACATTTCATTAAACTTTATTTACAAAAACAGGCAGCAGGCCAAATTTGGCTCATAGGCCACAGTTTGCCAATCTGATACAGATGCTTATTTCTAAAATATTTTAAAATATTATTTTTCATCACTTAAATGCCTCTCATCTCCTAAAAATAAGTAAGTTCATGAGAACTATCTATACAGAAAAAGAAGTTCATATAGAAGTATCTATATTAAAAAATCAGGCCAAATTTTTATATAGCCTTTAGAATAACATCTACCACTTATATAGTACTTTACAATGCTGTGATATTTATAATCTTGACCTTTACAGCTCAACCTGAAGGGATAGCTAGGTAGGCATTTTTTTCCTGTTATGACTCAAAAAGGTCAAATGACTTGCTCATGATCACAAAAGTAGTAAGTGGTAAAGCCAGTTAGTGGAAAACCAGAAAATATGCTCTGGTCTCCTGACAAACGTTTGTTTCCATTACAATACATCATACTGTTTCACTACTTTATGACAACACCTTGTATTATAAACCACCATATTTAAGGAAATTAATCTAATCCAAATAAATATCATTTCACTAAATACAATGAAAGACTTCTCCATCAAAGGTAAATGGGCAGAACTTTACATACTTCTCTCCTTTTTGGAGATGATGCCACTTGGTAGAGGTGAATTTTTAGTAATAATTTCAGGACACTGTAGTTCCTGGACACACATCTTTGCTTCATCTTTCACAAAATTTTCTGGTGATAGATAACTTGCTGCTTCCAATAAATAAGTTGGGGTACTGTCCATTAAAGAGGTGACTTCAAGTGTGGACCCATTGTCCTGTATATTTGTTCTGTCCTTTATGGATACATCAAGAACTTTTTGATGCTTTTTGGAAAATTCGGCCAAGGACTCTAGGGCACTTTCGAAGGTTGAATGGTGCTGAATCTGCTGCCGTATCCATTTAGAAAGTCCTACAGAAAAAAAGTAAACCCAGGGTAAAATTTGGTTGGTTATTAAAATATTACTCCCCACGAAAGGCTTCGTGCCCTCCTGTGGTAATGGGTGAATTCTTCCTCTAATTAGTTCACATGAGATCTCCTCTCCTCTCTCTTGGTCACTCTCTTGCTATGTGATGCACCTGCTTTCCCTTTACCTTCTGCTATGATTGTAGACTTTCTGAGGCCCTCATCAGAAGGAGATGCTTATGCCATGATTTTTGTACAGCCTGCAGAACCATCAGCCAAATAAACCTCTTATCTTTATAAGTTATCCAGTCTTGGTGTTGGCAACAATTGTTTGGATATGACACCAAAAACATAGGTAATAAAAGCAAAAATAGACAAGGAAGACCACATTAAACTAAAAAACTTCTGTACAGCAAAGTAAATAATCAGCAATCTACAGAATGGGAGAAAATATTTGCAAAGCATTTATCATATCTGATAAGGAGATCTCCAAAATATATAAGAAACTCCTATATCTCAATAGCAACAAACAAACACACACACCAAAAACCAAACCAAAAAAACAGAGACACAAAGAAACCCAAATACCCCAATTAAAAAATGAGCAAATTAAAAGACACTTCTCCAAAGAAGACATATGATTTGGCTAACAATAGAAAAGATGCTTAACAATCCTAATCATCAGAGGAATGCAAATCAAATCCACAATGAGCTATCACATCATACCTTGTAGGATAGCCTTTATGAAATTTAAAAAAGAGAAAGAAGAAAAAAAGGAAATAAGAGTTAGCAGGGATATGGAGAAAGTGAAACCCTTGTGTGCTATTTGTGGGAATGTCAAATGTTGCAGATGCTATGAAGAACAGAATCAAATCAAAAAATTAAAATTAGAACTATGATAATTCACCAATTCTATGCTTGGTAGTTATTTTAAAAAGCTGAAATCAGGATCTTGAAGAGATATCTGCATTCCCATGTCTATTGCAGCATTGTTCCCAATATCCATGAGGTGGAAATAACCTAAATGTCTACTGACAGATAAATGGATTTTTAAAAATGGTATAATGTATACATAAAATAAAATATTAAGCAGTCATTGAAAAGAAGGAAATCCTGTCAGATATTACAATATAGATGAAACTTAAGGACATTATGCTAACTGAAATTAACCAGTTACAGAAGGACAAATACTGCATAATTCAATTTATATGAGGTATCTAAAGTAGTCAAACTAATAGAAGCAAAAAGTATAGCGGTGGTTGCCAGGGGATGAGGGGAGAGGGAATGGGGCATTGCTGTTCAATCGGTTTTAAGTTTCAGTTATGCAAGATTTAAAAGTTCTAGATACTTGCTATACAATGCTGTGCTTACAATTAACAATATTGTACTGTGCACTTAATAAGATGGTAGATCTCATATTATGTGTTTTTTATCACAACAAAAATATGAAGATTGTTACTAGTTCTTACTCTAGGCCCAGCTGAGATCTTACCAGATATATAGCGACTTGGGTTATTCCTAAAACGATCATCCACTAGAATAAGAGCTCCCCAATCATTTCTGTGTCGAATACATCTACAAAAAATAGGGAGAAAATCAATTTTATATATTTCTTTAAACAACTTGCTATTGTGAGAAAAGTTATAGGAGCTACCCAATACAATGTAACAAAGTAGATGTATTAAAAACTCCCTACTTTTGCCAAGTACTGATAACTTACATCTCAAATGTTGTATTTTATTTTGCACTCAGGAAAATTATAGAAAACATTTTCTAAGAGCGTTCTTAGCCACATAGACACTTTCTACTTAACCTTAAGTATTATAATTGTAGGTTTTATGTAAAGGTGATTTTTACTAGTTTAATGAGAGTTTTTCATCATGAATAAACATTGAATTTTGCCAAAAATATTCTAAAATTCAATTAACATGTAATTTTTCTTCTTTTGACTGTTAATATGGTAGATTACACTGGTTCATTTTCAAACACTGAATCATCCTTGCATTCCTAGTCATGATGTATTATTCTTTTTATAGATTGTTGGATTCAATTTGCTAGTTTTTTAAAATATATTAAAAAATAAAAACAGGCTTTAATAATTATTAAACAATTTTAAAGTGTACAATGCAGTGGTTTTTGGTATATTTACAAGGTTGTATAACCTATACCACTTATCTATCCCAGAACATTTTCACCATCCCAAATAAACCCTGTGCCCACTAGCTGTTACTCCAAATTATCCCAATTATCCCCCATTACCTCTGCCAACCACTAATTTTTCTGTTCTTAGAGATTTGCCTATTCTGGACATTTCATTTAACTGAAATCATACAATATGTAGCATTTTGTATCTAGCATATTTCACTGAGCATGATGCTACCAAGATTCACTCATATAGCTATGATTTACCAGTACTTCATTTATAAATTAATGTTTCCACTTTTTGGCTATTATGAATAATGCTGCTATAAACATTTGGTTACAAGTTTTCATATAAATACATGTTTTTGATTCTCTTGGGCATACACCTAGAAGTAGAATTGTGAGTCATATGGTAAATCTTTAACTTTTCAAACACTGCCACACTGTTCCAAAGCTGCTGCACATTTTACACCCCCACCACCTATGTACAAGGGTTCCAAAATCTCCACATCCTCACCAACACTTGTTACTGTATACCCTTCTAAAGTTATCTCTACACTAGGAAGTATGAAATGTTATTTCATTATGGTTTTGATTTGCATTTCCCTAATGACCAATGATGTTGAACATCATTTTTATGTGCTTACTGGCCATTTGTGTATCCTTTTCTGGAGAAGTCTGTTCAAATTATTGGTCCATTTTTAATGGCCTATTTTGTCTTTTTATTATTAAATTGTAAGAGTTCTTTATATATTCTGGATACCAGATCCTGCTACACATGATTTGCAAATATTTTCTCCATATGTAAGTTTTCTTTTCCATTTGTTGATACTGTCCTTTGAAGAACAAAAATTTAAATTATAACAAAATCCAACTTATCTACTTTTTCTTTGGTTGCTTATGCTTCTGGTCGCAGATCGAAGATACTATTGCCTAATACAAGTCCAAGAAAATTTATACCTCTGTTTTTGTCTTTTTCTGTCTTTGATCCACTTTAACTTTTGTATATGGTGTGAGGTAGCAGTCTAATTTCATTATTTGCACATAGATATCCAGTTGTTCCAGCACCATCTGTCAAAAAGACTAATCTTCTTTGAGTTGTCTTGGCATTCTTGTCAAAAATCAATTCATTGTATGATGTATGAATTTGTTTATGGACCCTCAATTCTACCCATTTATCTACACCATCTGTCTTTATGCCAGTACAACACAGTCTTGATTATTGTAGCTTTGTTATAAATTTGAGGTACAAAACTGTTTGTTCCCCTCGTATGTTCCTCTTCTTAAAGATTGTTTTGACTATTCTGGGTTCCTTGCTTTTCCATAATAATTTTAGAATCAGTTTCTCAATTTCTGCCAGAAAGTCAGCTGGAATTTTGACTAGTATTGTATTTAATCTCCATATCAATACAGGGGAGTGCTGATATCTTAACCATAAATCTTCTAATCCACGAACATGGGATTCTTTCCATTTATTTAGAATTTTCTTTCAATAATGTTTTGCAGTTTTCCATATACAGATCTTTCAAATCCTTAGTTAGGTATATTTCTAAGTATTTTCTTCTTTCTGATGTTATTTTAAATGGAATGTTCTGAAGTTCATTTTTAGATTTTTGGCTGCTAGCAAATAAAAATGTCATTGATTTTTTAATATTGGTCTTGTAACCTGAACCCTTGCTGAACCTATCAGTTGTTATTTTTAAAATGAATTTCTCAGAATTTTCTGTGTATATCATTTGCAAATAAAAACAGGTCTGCTTCTTCATTCCTCTTGTCTCACTGCCCTGGTTAGAATCTCCAACACAATATTGAATAGAAATGGTGAGAGTGAAAATCACTGTTGTGATCTTAAACTTAGGAGAAAAGTTTCAGTCTTTCACAATTAAGTGTGATGTTAGCTGTGAGTTTTTCATAGATGACCTCATTAAAGCTAAGTAAATAACCTGATATTCCCACTTTGTTGAGTATTTTCACCATGAAAATGTGTTGAATACTGTTTTATGCTTTTTTTTTTTTTTTTTTTTGGCATCTTGAGAAGATCGTGTGGTTTTGGTCTTCTTTTAATATGGTATATTACATTAATTGATTTTATAAAGTATGTTGAACCAATCTTGGATTGCTGGGATAAATATTACTTGGTCATGGTGTATATTCCTTTTAGTATGTTGCTGATTCTGTCAATGGCTTTTATTTCTATAGGTATGTGAAATACTGCTGTACAGTCTTCTTGTAATAGTATCAGGTAATACTGGTCACATAGATGGGTTGGTAAATATTTCTCTTCTATTTTTTGGTGGAGTTAATAAAAGATTAATGCTAATTCTGCTGTAAAGTTTTGGCAGAATTCACCAGAGAAGCCATTTGATCATGAGGCTGAAGCAGGAGAATTGCTTGAACCTAGGAGGTGGAGGCTGCAGTGAGCTGAGATTGCACCACTGCATTCCAGCCTGAGCAACAGAGTGAGACTCCATCTCCAAAAAAAAAAAAAAAAAAAAGCAAGTGTTTTGATGACAAATTCTATCTTTACTTGTTATACATCTATTCGGATGTTCTATTTCAGCCAGACATGGTGGCTCATGGCTGTAATTCGAGACCAATCTGGTTAACATAATGAAACCCTATCTCTATTAAAAATACAAAAAATTAGTCAGGAATGGTGGTGGGCACCTGTAATCCAGCTACTTGGGAGGCTGAGGCAGGAGAATCACTTGAACCTGGGAGGCAGAGATTGCAGTGAGCCGAGATTATGCCATGCATGCCAGCATGCCAGCCTGGGCAACAGCAAGAGACCCTATCTCTCAAAAAAGAAGAAAAGAAAAAGATACATATATATACATTCACTTATTAAAAACACTATATACATACATAATAGTGAAAACTATTTTATATTTGTTTTCAAATCAGACCAAGGCAGCAATGAAAGTACATTTATAATGTTTACCTCCTTTCACTGAAAAAAAAAAAAAAAAAAAAAGATATTCTGTTTCTTCTTGATATAGTCTTAGTATTTTGTGTCTATCTGTGAATTTGTCCATTTAATCTAAGTTACCTAATTTGTTGTCACACAATTTTTGAAGGCATTATCTTATAATCCTTTGTATTTCTGTAAGGTAGTAACATCCTTTCATTTCTAATTTTAGTAAACTATTCTCTGTATTTTCTTTGGTCAGTCTTGGTCTGCCAATTTTGTTGATTTTTTTCAACAAATCAACTTTTGTTATCTTGGTTATTCTCTATTGTTTTTTGAATTCTCCATTTATTTCCTTTCTTGTATTTCCTTTGATTGCCTTGCTTTGGGTTTAGTTTGCTCTTCTTTTTCTAATTCCTTAAGGTGGAAAGTTAGATTATTGATTCCAGATGTTTATTCTTTTAAAATATAGATGTTACAGCTTTAAGTTTCCCTGGGAGGAGTACTTTCACTGTGTCCCCCAAATTTTGGGACACAAAATTTGTGTTTCCATTTTATCATAATGTATTTTTCAATTTTTCTTCTGATTTATTCTTTGACCCACTGGTTGTTTAAAAGTGTGTTGTTGAATTTCCACATATTGTGACTTTACCATTTTTCCTTCCATTACTGATTTCTGGTTCATTTCATTGTGGTCAGAAATAATACCTGTAATGATTTCAACCTCTTAAAATTTACGGAAACTTGTATTTTATGGATTAACATCCGGTCTATCCTGAAGAATGTGCCATTTTCACTTGAGAAGACTGTGTATTCTCCTGTTGTTGGGTGAAGTGTGCTACAGATGTCTGTCTGGTTTGTTTGTAGTTGTTGGTTTGTAGTTTTGTTCAAGACTTTTCTGCTGATATTCCTTCTTGTTGTTCTATCCATTATTGATTAGGGTATGGAAGTCTCCAAGTATTACTTAATTATTGATTGACATTTTTTGCTAGATGTGTTTTGGGGCCTTTTTGTTAACTGCATGTTTAGATTTATACATTCTTGAGAGAATTTTTTTTTTTTTTTTTGAGACAGGGTCTCACTCCAATTGCCCAGGCTGGAGTGCAATAGTGAGATCATGGCTCACTGCAGCCTCAACTTCCTGGGCTCAGGCGATTCTCCCACCTCAGCCTCCTGAATATCTGGGATTATAGGTACATGCCACTACACTCTGCTAATTTTTTGTACTTTTAATACAGACAGGGTTTCATCATGTTGCCTAGGCTAGTCTTGAACTCTTGGGCTCAAGTGATCTGCCTACCTCAGCCTCCCAAAGCGCTGGGATTGCAGGCAGAATGGCATTTTTTATCATTATAAAATGTTCATTGTTTCCATTAATTTTTGTTTGTTTGTTTTAAGGGTCCATTTTGTCTGATATTAGCGTAACCAAACCAGCTCTCTTTTGTTTACTATTTGCATGGTATGTCTTTTCCCATCGCCTTATTTTCAACTTATTTGTGTTTTATTTATTTAGTGTTTCTCTTGC